ATTGCTTTTTTAGAAGTCAGTCTGGAGATTACAAAAACCATTTTTGTCTTATCAAAAGTAAGCCAGCAGAGGGGAACTCTCCACGTCTGTTGCTCTCTCTCTCTCTCTGACTCTCAAATGCCTACACATTTCATACTGAAGTGCCTGGTTTTGAGTCCTGACTCTATCTCCACTTCCAGCTTCCTGCTCCTGTGCACCCTGGGAGGCAGAAGTTCACTGCTCAAAGGGCTTGGGTCACCGCTACCCATGTAGGAAACCCAGACTGAGTTCCTAGCTTCTGGTTTTGGCCTGGTCCAGTCACAGCGGCTAAGGGCTTTTGAGGAATGAACCAGCTTTGGATTGGCCCACCTTGGCCCATTGTGGCCATTTGGGCAATGAACCAGTGGATGGAAGACTTCTCTCTCAAATAAATAAATAAATAAATATATTTTTTTAAAACAGCTTTATGAAGCTATAGCTGATGATCAACAAAGTGTATACTGAAGGTATGCAAGTTGACGAACTGTGCTGAAACTGATATGGGGAACAGGCAGGGAGTTAGGGAAAGTGAGCTGGAAGATTTCCCCACAACTTCTGTTTCACAGTCATGCACTTTAACTCCTTACATACCAATTCAGTCCACACTTCACCATGATGCACCTGCATCTCTCCCAGGGCTGGGAAAAAGGAGCTAACGTGATCAACAGGTGCAAGCTAAACTCCCCGTGGAGATGCTATGAAGCCCCCAGAAAACCTCAAGCACACAAAGTCCCGCCCACATTCTACCTATTTGTATACTCAATTAGGGCACCACTGCCGACTGCATAAGGAGACTGCTGGAAGTGGAAGTGCCCCTCCTCTCGCCTTCTGCCCTTTCTCATCATCGGCAGCTCTCTGGCCCTCTCACAGCAAGTATCTCTCCTTGTAGGGTTAGCTACCCTAGTGCCTAAATTTATATTACTCTCTGTCAATAAATTCTCTGATTTTTACATTTTATTTATGCCTCTGATTTGAATTCCTATCTCATATGGGTGCAAGGACTTCGAATAAAAACTGGGACACACATTCCTACAACAAAACTATCACTACAACAGTAAAAATATCCATTATCCAAAGTTTGCTTATGCCCTTCTATAATTTACTTAATTTATTTCACAATCTATCAATCTACTGTATTAATTTCAGCAAATTCATTTCTAAAATTCTACTTAATTCTTTTTCAAAACTGCTTTCATTAGTTTCCAAATCCCTGCTGAAATTTAGAATTTTGTCTTTTCTCTCCTTAAGCACAGTAAAGCACTGTCATATCTGAGCCCCTGTGAGTTTGTCTGTTCTTGTTGCTTTGTATTTTTGTTTGCCAGGTATCTTTGATTTTGTTTGCCTTTTCAGCCTCCCAAGAACACTAATAACCTAGGATTACTTCAATCTAAATTGGCTCATGAGGTTTTTCTGGCCATTCCTGTATCCTTACTTCAGTGCAAAGTCGGGCAGGTGTGGTGCTGGTTACTCCCTGGTCACCCTCATTCCTCCTGCATGTCCTCTTTTGTTCCAAACCAAAGCTTAAAGGCGCTCTCAGGCTGGACCCAAGGGAGTGGCTTAAAGTCCAACTTTTATTCTGAACTCTGAGAAGCTGTAAAAAGCTTAGGGAACCTTTCAGGTTCTCAGGTTCTCGAGATCAGTGAATTCCCTCAGAGCCAAAGCTGCTCCACACACCGGGCTCCCCTCTCCAGACAGGACAAGTCATTCTTCAGTACCCTGCAGGCTCGCCCACGCTTTTAAGCAGATGTTTTCCTACTGTGGCCAGCTTTTCTGGCAGTCCTCAGGGCCTGAGTCGGTCTGCACTGCCCAGTCTGCCTTTACTGGAAGTGGGAATACCTCTAGTGTCACTTGAACCTAGTCTGGTCAACTTTCCCCACTACTCCACAGCAAGTCTTGGTCAAGGCTGCCAGTGCGACGGCCGACTGCTGCCTGGCCAGTCAGCAGCACCTGACAAGGACGCGCTGCAGGACTCGGCCTTCTCCTGCTCCGGGTGCTACCCTCCCTGCAGCTCCTGCGGCGCCTGCTCTGCTGCCTCTTCCCTCTGAGCCCCTGAGCGTCCCAGGGACCTGGGCCTTCACTGAGTCCTTCAGCTGTGAATGTCATCCGATGAGCTCTGAATTGCTATCTCCCCTGAAGCACTGCTCTGACTTCTGGGCTTCCTAGCCAGCATACTACCAGATGTGCCCCAGTCACCCGGTTAGCCCTGAGCGGCTGGCTGTGATTTCTGCCCCCTCTCCCTGAGACACTGCACAATGTCTAGAGACACTTTCGGCTGCTGTCAGTGAGGGCTGCTGCTGACATCTAGTGGGGAGACCAAGGCGTTCCTCAACAGCCTGCAGTGTCCATCTGCAGCAGCAAAGCGCCCCCAACAGACTGATGCGGCCTCACATGTCAATAATGCTGACACTGAGAAACCCTGAGTCACAGGCACCAAACCCAGGACTTGTCACCAACTCCTTTTCCTCTCATCTCCTTATTTCATCAGTGTCAAGTCCTAAAAGCTCCATCTCTACAAAAGATCCTGAATCTGGTATTTCTTCCTCAATCCCCTGCTACCATGCTAGTCACCTCTCGCCTGAATTACTACCAAGCCTCCTGAAAGGATTGTTATTTCTGTCTGTGCCTCCCTTACAGAAAATTCTCCACATGGAGCCAGAAGAATCCTTTTAAAACAAACCTTCTGGCCGGCGCCGCGGCTCACTAGGCTAATCCTCCGCCTTGCGGCGCCGGCACACCAGGTTCTAGTCCCGGTCGGGGCGCCGGATTCTGTCCTGGTTGCCCCTCTTCCAGGCCAGCTCTCTGCTGTGGCCAGGGAGTGCAGTGGAGGATGGCCCAAGTGCTTGGGCCCTGCACCCCATGGGAGACCAGGAGAAGCACCTGGCTCCTGCCATCAGATCAGCGCAGTGCACCGGCCGCAGCGCGTCAGCCGTGGCGGCCATTGGAGGGTGAACCAACGGCAAAGGAAGACCTTTCTCTCTGTCTCTCTCTCACTGTCCATTCTGCCTGTCAAAAACAAAACAAAACAAAAACAAAACAAAACACACACACACACACACAGCAACAAAAAAAACAAACCTTCTACACCACATCTGTGCAATGGCCTCTTGTATGTTCTAATCCCGCCTCCTCCTTCCTGTTCCTGCCACCAAGCTGAAGTCACACTGGCTTTCGTGCTGTCATTCCAACAGACCAATTTCCTCTTTAACAGCCTTTATCTTTGTGATTCTGTTATTATTATTTTCTAGAATATTCTTCCCTGAATACCCATCCACTTTGCTGGTCTCTTCCACTATTCACATCTTTTGCTCGAATGTCGCAAGAAGCTTCCTTGACCATGAGTTGGAAAGCGTCCTCTCCCTCCTCGGTCCCTCGCTTTGCTTCTGCTCTTCACAGCACTTCCTACCACCCACACTGGTTTACTGTCCTAGTCACAGTTCCACAGGGGAGGAAATTTGCCTGCTTCACTCACTGCTGCATCCCAGCACCTGCAGTGGGGCCTGGCACTTACAGGTACTTAGATTTGTTACAGGAATGCATGAGAAAACACGTGGCTTTGAAGTTCACACTTTCCACAATGCAGCCTGATTGTGTTAGTGCCTCAGCAGCTCATCAGATACTATTACTGAAAGCTTCCAAGGTGCAGGTGTCCAGCTCAGGTGTTCTCAGAGATCTATACCAAAGGACTGACTGTAAGATCATAATGTCAGGACCAAGCTGGGTCAGCACTATAGTGACCTATCATCCAAGGATGCTGTGAAAGGGGCCTGGGGAACCAGGAGACCTGTAACAAAGGGGGGGGGGGGTATGGAGGGGACAGGCACTGTGATGCAGAAGTGTAAGCTGCTGCTTGGGATGCCTGCATCCTGTATTGGAATGCCTGGGATTGAGTACCGCCTGGGTTCCTGCTGCTCACATGAGAGACCTGGACGGAGCTCCTAGATGGTTGGTTTTGGTCTAGTCTAGCCCAGCCCTGGCTGTTGTGGGCACTTGTGGATTTTGGGAGAGATCTTTTTCTCTTCTCTCTTCCTTTGCCTTTCCAGTAAATTAAAACAAAAACAAAAACAGGCCAGCACCGCAGCTCACTAGGCTAATCCTCCGCCTGCGGTGCCGGCACACCGGGTTCTAGTCCCAGTTGGGGCGCCGGATTCTGTCCCGGTTGCTCCTCTTCCAGTCCAGCTCTCTGCTGTGGCCCGGGAAGGCAGAGGAGGATGGCCCAAGTGCTTGGGCCCTGCACCCCATGGGAGACCAGGATAAGCACCTGGCTCCTGGCTTCAGATGGGCGCAGCGCGCCGGCTGTAGTGGCCATTTGGGGGATGAACCAATGGAAGGAAGACCTTTCTGTCTCTCCCTCTCACTGTCTAACTCTGCCTGTCAAAAAACAAAACAAAAACAAAAACAAAAACAAAAAAACACCAAAAACAAAAAAACCATACAGGTTTTCTAGCACCTGCCAGCCAAGCCCCTCTTGGCTGGCTGGGAAGGCTACTGTGGGAGGATCTCTCTTTCCTCTCCATCTATGTAAGTCTAGTGAATGAAGGAGACAGCTTCTAGTACACAGAAGGGGAAGGCCACCAATCCTGTTTCTTCATTCCTATACCCGATCCCTCTCTCTCTCTCTCTCTCTCTCACTCACACACACACACACACCCACACACCCCTTATGAACTTCAAGGCCCTGTCTTACTTGTCTATTGGAAGACCCAGCCAGAGAGGGCTGCTTGGACAGCATGACTTTCAGATCAGCAGCACCTCTAACTCAGTACGGACCCTGGGTTAAATTACACAGAACCTCAATGACACTGCCTGCCAAATGGGCGTGATTTTTCCCTTCGTTCTGGATGCAAGAGGACTCGAGGAGGTGAGAGTGTAAGCAGCTGCCTGGAAGAAGTACTGAACAAATGCTCATGGGACTTCAACTTGGCTATTCCAAACACGCACTGAAAAGACAGGAACGTTTCTGTGAAACTGATTCACTCAAATACCTTCAGCTTCTTTAGTTCAAACTGATGATGCTGTAAAGAACGCTCGCACTCATTTCTGCTCTCTTTAAGGGCTGCATTTTCTTGCTTCAGTTCTCTCTGCAAGTTGAGAAAAACACATATGAAGAAGGAAGACCTTAACTACCACAGTCCACAGTGTTCTGCACAGCCCTGGCTCTCTGACATGGTGCCTGTGAAAGGCCTTTTTTCTTGTTATTGCAGGGGTGCGAGAAGAGAATGCCAAGTAGGGTGGGAAAGAGCGAACCACTTGAAAAACTCCTCACAAGAAGGAATGAGGAACATGACCTCTGAGACCATGGGTCAGGACACAACCGTGGAAAGGGAGAGGCCATTAGGGAGGAACAATGTGAAATTCAGAAAGACAAAAGGCAGAACTCAGAGCAATGGCCACAAAGCACAGGAAGTTCTGTGGGCCTAAGGAGAAAGAAAATGCATCTGTCTGGAGTTCTCGGTGCTCACTGGAAGGTAAGCACTGCTCTAACAAGCAGGGAGGCCCAGCGAGGTTACACCAGCCAAGCCTGGGGCAGACGGAGCTGTGCGGGGGCCTGGTGCCCTCGGGGCCTCCCTGCACTCTTTCTTCACTCACCATGCCATGCTCTGCAGCTGTCTGGTCAGCGGCCCGCGCTTGCTCCAGAGCAGTGATCTGGGCCTCAAGGGCGTGGGTGCGCTCTGCGTACTGCTGCTCCAGGGCCAGGGCCTGCTGCTGCATGCGGCTGCTCTCCTGGCTTGCAGCGGCCTGTAGGCATACCAGAGGACAGCCAGTCATGGGGACAATGGTTTTCAGAGACAGCCTTATTCTGATGACCCAAAGATGGGTGTCTGCCCTGGGGCCAACGTTATGGTGAGCAGGTTAAGCCACTGGCTGCAATGCAGGCATCCCATACTGGCATGGGTTCAAGTTCTAGCTGCTCCACTTCCAATTCAGCTCTCTGCGATGGCCTGAGAAAGCAGTGGAAGATGGCCCAAGTGCCTTGGTCCCTGTACCCATGTGGGAGACCCAGCCCCAGCTGTTGCAGCCATCTGGGCAGTGAACCAGCAGATGGAACATTCTTCTCTGAATCTTCCTGTCACTTTGCCTTTCAAATAAATAAATGAATCTTTAAAAAGAAAAGAAAAGAAAAGAAACCGGGCTCCTTCCTGACAACTCTGGCCCTGGTGTAGCTGAGGATCTGTCTCCTGCTTCTGGTCCTTGGCCTGTCGTGGGAGGTGGAATGTGGCGCAGGCCTGGATGCCATCATTCCTTGGGGTGAGTGGGGACAGCACCGGGCTAAGCCCATCCTCTGTCACAGGCTTCGGCTGCTGCTACTCAGTGCCACCACTTCCACAGTGAAGCCAGGCACTGCTATTCGGAAAAGGTGGTCCTGCTACCGACTGCCTGGGAGACTGTCAATGCTTCTGGGTGGCCCAGTCCTCCCACGCTGGCTTTCTCTACTGAATGACGATGATGGCACACGCCTCTTGCTTATGCTGTAAGGACTGACTACAAACATGTGTACAGCCTTAGCACAATGCCTGGCCTGGGCAAGCATAAAATTAATGCTGGCTGCTTTTATTTCTCTGGCTTCTAACTTAGCACTCCACCCGGGGCTAAGCCGCTGCCATCTCCACACACCTGTTCTCCATGCCTCTGATGCAAGCTGAGCTTGACTGTTTTTGGAGGTACCATCCCTAACAGCCCTCGAGCTGGGCTGGGCTTGAAGGCCAAGTGTAAGGTGGATAGTGCCAGTCAGTCCAGTTCCCTGGGGAACTTGGGCCCCCAGGAAATCTTTTTTTTTTTTTTTAAGGTTTACTTTATTTATTTGAAAGAATTACAGAGAGAGGTAGAGACAGAGAGAGGTCTTCCATCTGCTGGTTCACTCCCCAGCTGGCTGCAACGGCTGGAGCTGCGCCAATCTGAAGGCAGAAGCCAGAAGCTTCTTCTGGGTCTCCCACGTGGGTGCAGGGGCCCAAGGACTTGGGCCATCTTCTGCTATCCCAGGCCATAGCAGAGAGCTGGATTGGAAGAGGAGCAGCCGGGACTCGAACCGGCACCCATATGGGATGCCGGCGCTTTAGGGCAAGGCTTTAACCTGCTGCGCCACAGTAACAGTCCTAGCCCCAGCAAGTCTTGACTCCCTCTGCCTGCTGTTGCCTCTCTAAGGTCAGGTCCAGAGATGGTGGCAGATGATGGAAGGCATCAAAGGAAAACATCTGAAGTAACCACTCACCAGCTCCTGGATCTGTGCTTCCTGGGCGGCCATGATGGCCCTGCTCTGCTGGAGCTTCTCCTGGGAGGCCTGCAGGGTCAGCTCTAGGTCCTTCACCTGCGGGACAGAGCATTCCTTCTGTTCAAGTGGCGCTGAAGGGAGTAACCCAGGCTTCAAAATGCAAATCAATCCAAATAATGAAACAGGTGCATCACAGCCAAGATGTCCAATGAGAAAAAAGATACCTGTACGTCTAATATTATAAAAACTAGCATTCTAATGTCTTTCAGTTAGCCATTTCTAATTTATTTATATTTTATTTTTAATTTTTATAAAGATTTAATTTTTTGAAAGTCAAAGTTAAGGGGGATGGGGGGGGGGAGAGAAAGAGAGAGAGAATGAATGAGAATCTTCCATCTGCTAGTTCAATCCCCAAATGGCTGTAATGGCCAGGGCTGGAGCAGGCTAAAGCCAGGAGCTTCATCCAGGTCTCCCATGTGGGTACAGTAGCCCAAGCACTTGGGCCATCTTCTGCTGCTTTCCCAGGTACATTAGCAGGGAGCTGGATCGAAAGCAGGGCAATCAGGATTCAAAAAGATGCCCATATGGGATGCTGGACCTGTAGACAGCGGCTTAATCCACTACACCACAGCACTGGCCCCATCCAATCATTTTTCAGATGACTTTTCAACTTTGTGTATAGCTTTAATAAAACAATGTAAAACTTTGTATTTTTCCCCCTCAAATTTCCTTCTGTGTCCCAGTTTCATCTTGAAACCTTATATTATTTCCGCAAAGAGTGTTCCATAATTTCTGATCCACTTGTCTGTTGTACGGGCCCTTAATTTCCATTCTGTCTAAAAATAACGCAGTTAACATCTTCACACAGAACTTCTTGACCTTCAAACAGTCTCTCCAAAGTGGGATTACTGGGGTCGGCACTGTGGCATAGTGGGTTAAGTCTCTACCTGCAATGCTGGCATCCCATATGGGTGCTGGTTGGAGTCCCGGCTGCTCCACTTCTGATCCATCTCCCTGCTAATGCACCTGGGAGAGCAGCAAAGGGTGGCCCAAGTCCTTGGGCCCCTATACCAACATGTGAGACCTGGATGAAGCTCCTGGCTCTTGTCTTCAGCCTGACCCATCCCTGGCCATTGTGATCCTCTGGGGAGTGAACCAGTAGACAGGAGATTTGTCACTCTTTTAAATAAATAAAATAAATCTATAAAAAATGGGATTACCGCTTAAAACACAAATTTAGGTTTTATTCATTCCACAAAATCTGACTACATTAGACTACCTCCTGGTGCTGTATTGGGGCACGAGGTTGGCACAGCAGGATAAACATGCCAGCCCTTAAGGAGTCACTGTCCAGTACTGAGCAGGACCTGGGACCTGGCCCACAAAGGTGGTATTTTTATCTGACTCATGCTATCTTTACCAATTTCTCTTACAAAGCCTTCATGTTTACGGAATTAGCCTAACTTTGGGAGCTTTACTATTAAGTCATAAACACAGGGAAGGCTGTATCTTGGTAAAGGAGAGACAGACACCAAAGGAACAGATATTTTTAAGGCTTAGGTTTCTTACATATATTCAAACATAAGATTTAACTAAAACAGCTTTGTGAGAAAAGGGTTACTATTTTCATAGAGAACAGTCAGGTTACTTGTCCATGGTCACACATTTTAGTAGTGGGAGAGCCAGAACTAGCAACAATTTTTAAAATTTTTTTGAGCTCAGAAAACATCCACCTAAATATCAATTTAGAGACAGTGCTTAAGAAAGAGGTCCTCAGAAAGTTAAGCAGAGTTACCCCAAGACATAGTGTCCTACTACTTAGTGTACACCCAGGAGAAAAAACACAGATCCACACAAAAGCTTCGTGCGCTACTGTTCACAGGAGCAGTGTTTATAATACCAAAAGGCACAAACAACCCAAGTGCTTATCAGTGGATAAGTGGGTAAACAAGAGGTGCTACACACACACAACGGGCTATTACTCAGCCTCCAAAGGGAATGAAATTCTGACACATGCTAAAATAGAAACACTACAAATACTGTGCTAGGTGAAACAAGACAGACAGAAAAGGACAAATATTGTATGATTCCCCCTTTCTGAGGTACCTAGAGTACTCAAATGCATAGACAAAAATCAGAATGGTGGATGCCAGGGACTAGGAGTAAGAAGGGGGAGTTACTGTTTTAATGAAGGTAGAATTTCAGTTCGGGACGATAGAAAATTTCTGGAGATGGAGAGTGACAATGGTTGTACAACAATGTGAGTATACTTAATCACAGTGAATTGTAAACTTAGAAATTATTAAAGTGGTAAATTTTATGTTATATATATTTTACTACAGTAAAAAATCATAAAGTATATTCTGAAATAGTTAGAACTGAACTATAATAAAATTCTTGAGAAAAATAGTTACAAATACATTTATCAGAAAATAACTATTTTAGAAATGAACTAAGCATTCAATTCAGAAAATTAGGAAAAAAATGAAGCAAATTTAAATAGGAAGAAAATAAAGAATAAAAATTTCAGGTGAAATCAAAGGCTTTTTCTTTCAAAGGATTAATGAAATAGTTCAGGTATTGCAACCTTTTTATGTAAAGAGCCTGTCTTTTTCTTTTTTAATTAACTAATTTATTTGAAAGGCAGAGTTACAGAGAGGCAGAGGTAGAAAGAGAGAAGTCTTCCATCCATTGATTCACTCCCCAAATGATTACAACTGCCGGAGCTGGGCTGATTCGAAGCCAGGAGCCAGGAGCTTCTTCCGGGTCTCCCACACTGGTGCAGGAGCCCAAGCTTTAGGGCCATCCTCTACTGCTTTCCCAGGCCATAACAGAGAGCTAGATCGGAAGTGGAACAGCTGGGACTCGAACCAGTGCCCATATGGGATGCTGGAACCGCAGGCAGAGGATTAACCTACTGCGCTACAGCGCTGCCCCAGCCTGTCTTATACTCTTTGTCACAACTACTCAGTTCCGCCACTGGAGCATCTACAATTTGTAAATGAATGGGCATGACTTTTAACTACACTGACACTGAGGGTCAGCTGGCCCAATCATAAGACAGACTTCTGGCAAGATTAATCAAGAAATAAATGCAAAATACAGAAATAAGGGAATATAATATAGGTTAAACATTGTATCTTACATACTGTTATAGAAAAATATAATGTTAAGAAATTTATGTGCCAGGGCAGGTCTTGTGGCACAGTGGATTAAGTTGCCTCTTGTGCATCTGGTAATAGAATGCCAATTCAAGTTCCGCTATTCCACTTCTGATCTAGTCCCCTAATGTGCGTGAGAAGCAGAACATCAGGGCTTAAGCATATGAGTCCCTGCCACCCCTGTAGCAGACCTGGATGGAGTTCTTGGATCCTGGCTTCAGCCTGGCTCCACCCATGAAGGGAGTGAACCAAGGAAGCAAAGATCTTTCTCTGCCTTTTAAATAACTAAATCTAAATTTAAAAAAACTATTATATGTGAATAAACTGGAAAATGAAGATAAAATGAAGGGCCCAGTGCTGTGGCGCAGTGGGTTAAAGCCCCAGCTTGCAGCGCCAGCATCCCATATGGGCACCGGTTTGAGTCCTGACTGCTCCTCTTCGGATCCAGCTCCAGGCTAATGCCTCTGGGAAAGCAGTGGAAGATGGCTCAAGCCCTTGGGCCCCTGCACCCAAGTGGCAGACCTGGAAGAAGCCCCTGGCTCCTGCTTTGTATCGGCTCAGCTCCAGCTGTTGCGGCCATTTGAGGAGTGAACCAGTGGATGAAAGACCTCTCTCTGTCATTCTCTACCTTCCTCTGTAACTGTCTTTCAAATAAATAAATCTTTAAAAAATATAAAATGAATCAACTATAAAATAAAAACGTCAACTTAGCTAAAAAAGAAAGAGGGGCCGGCACTGTAGCATGGTGGGCTAAGCCTCCGCTTGTGGCGCCAGCATCCCATAATGGGTGCTGGTTCATGTCCTGGCTGCTCCTCTTCTGATCCAGCTCTCTGCTTATGGCCTGGAAAAGCAGTAGATGGCTGGAGTGCTTGGGACCCTGTACCCGCATGGGACATCTGGAAGAAGCTCCTGGCTCCTGGCTTCAGATTGGCCCAGCTCCAGTCACTGTGGACACTGGGGAGTGAACCAGTGGATGGAAGACCTTTCTGTCTCTCCCTTTCTCTGTCTGGAAATCTGCCTCTCAAATGAATAAATAAATCTTTAAAAAAATAGAAAACTTAAGTGTAATATGTAGGAAAGACTGAAATGTTAATGAAAGATCTCTTTCCCCAAAAAACTGCAGGCCCAGATGGTTTTTATAGGCTTATCCTACCAAATTTATATGGGTATTAATTTTGAATAACATTTTTTAAAAATTTTTTTGACAGGCAGAGTGGACAGTGAGACAGAGAAAGGTCTTCCTTTGCTGTTGGTTCACCCTCCAATGGCCGTTGTGGCCGGTGCACTGCGGCCGGTGCACCGCGCTGATCCGATGGCAGGAGCCAGGTGCTTATCGTGGTCTCCCATGGAGTGCAGGGCCCAAGCACTTGGGCCATCCTCCACTGCACTCCCTGGCCACAGCAGAGAGCTGGCCTGGAAGAGGGGCAACCGGGACAGAATCCGGCGCCCCGACCGGGACTAGAACCTGGTGTGCCGGCCCCGCAAGGCGGAGGATTAGCCTAGTGAGCAGCAGCGCCAGCTCAATTTTGAATAAATTGTATCTTAATATAAATTGCTTTGGAAAAAGAAAGCACAAAAGCTGCCCAGCTCCTTTTTCTAAGGCTGGTGTAGCATGAGTCTAAAACTAGATAATTATAAGCCCATTCAACTTATAAATGCAAATCTAAAAATTCCAAGTAAAATATTAGCTAATCAAATTCAGACATTCATTACAAATTTCATACATCAAGAGGTTAATTACCATAGAAATGGAATACAGTGATGGTTCAGCATCAGAAAATCTGCTAATATAATTCACTGAATTAACAATCTAAAGGAAAAAGTATGATTTTTTAAATTCATGAAAATGAAAGCATTTGAGGGACCAGCACTATGCCACAGTGGGTTAACGCCCTGCCTGAAGTGCCGGTATCCTATAGGGGTGCCAGTTCGAGA